CCTCTTCTTGGTATCTTCTCAAAAGAATTAAAGGCATCATACCACAGTGATATTTGTGTACCCATGTTTACAGCAGCACAGACTAATAGCTAAATCTCAGAAACAGCCCAAATCATCAACCAAGTGAATAAAGATGTGGTTTTTTTCTACAATGGAATATTACTCTTCCATACAGAAGGAAGAGCGTCAGACATTTATAACTAAATGATAACTAGTGAGACCATACTGTGATACCATACTATGAAGTGAAATAAATTGGACACACGTTTATTTCCACACTGTTTCTCTGGTGTGAGAAACCTAAAGTGAAAATAAATTGGTCACTAGGGTCTAAAAGATGTGGGTTTTTCCCTATTCTGGGCAAGGAGAGATCGTCCCTATGTCTGGGACTGAATGAATATTTGAGACATTGACTAGTGGGAAAGATATCTTTGGAACGTTATTTCCTAAGACATGGTCAAGAATCCACGTAGATGACTAGATAGGGGCTATGTTTAAGAATGGCGCCTTTGAAATACTGGTGGTCCCTGTGTCTGGTTATCTACTCAAAGGCCTGCATTTTACCGTTTTTTAAACATCCACTTAATCTGGCAGTCTGAACCCTTTTCGCCAACTGAACTCTGACTTTCATGCTCTGACAAAATATCCCACAGGACTGGGTCCTCCTTCTATCTTCTGCCTAATCTATGTAAATTTCTGTGGTGGATATCTTATGCAAAATACAGCAAAAACGTATGTACATAGTTTCGACTAAATGTTAAAGAAAACATAAAAAAGAAAATAGAGAAATAGGAAGCAGGGAGAAGTTCTGATAATTCCTCAAATTATATAGTCTACTGTTTCAAAAATATTTCAATTATATATGTTAATTTGTTTCATTTATACTGCTAGGTCCTCTTAGTTCACTGAAAAAAGTTTTATGCTATTATCTATTTGTTTCCTTTTAGTAAGGGTCTTTTTTGTCTATGACTTGTACTGTTAACATTTTGGTCATTCTTTTAAGATTATGGTATACAGTGTACTAACTAATGTCATTCTTTAATTACTTTGTTATGAAATTTTGCTTTATTTTTTCGTAAAAGTAAGAAGACTGTTTTAAAAAAATATTTTCTTTATTCATATCTACTCTTACTGAAATAAAGTTTTTCAAAAAAACTTTTATCATCTTAGTCTGGTAAGTCTAGTGTTTGTGTCAGTACTGAATAAAGTTGAATTTATTTTTTTCCTTATTATGACTCATATTTTCTTCTTTGCAGGCCTAGCAATTGGGTGTCAGACAGTAAATTTTACCTTTCTGAGGGCTGGATTTATTTTTATTTCTATAAACACACTTGAGTCTTTTGGGGTATACACAATCATGTTACCTGGAAACACTTTGGTCTTTTCAAGTCTTGTCTTTTAAGATTTGCTCTTAGGTAGGAAAGCAGTGCTCTGCCTATAGCTAATCATTCTCCATTATTTAGGCAATATCTTTCATCTTGTCTATCCAATGCTTCATGAATCATGAGGGTGACCAGGTTGGGCAGTGGAAATAGACACTATTTGTGGTTCTATGAGCAGCAGGCATTGCAGTACTCTCTGTAAATTTTTTCCATTGGTTCAAGGGAGACAAGGATCTCTATATATTTTTCTCCTAGAGTCTAGAACACTACTGATCAATATCCTCCTCAGCAGTATGGTACTGTGAAATCTGGCATTTCACATGCCAAAGATTAAACCTAGATCCATATTTCTCACCATGCACTAAATTAAAATCAAATTGGATCAAAGATATAAAAAACTCTTGAAGACATAGATGTAGGCAAAGACTTTATGAAGACAACCCAATCACACACGAAATAATACAAAGAATCAACCACTGGGATCAAATCAAATTTAAAAGCTTTTGTACAGAAAAAGGAACCACCCAGAGTGAAGAGGCAATCCATAGAATGGGAAAAAAAATTTTAACAGCTTCTTCTCAACAAAGGACTAACATCTAGAATATATAAAGAACTCAGACCCTTCCAATTTTGAAGGCCTAATCCAAAAACTGGCATCTAAAATGAATAGACACTTCTCAGATGAAAAAGTACAAACAGCAAATAAATGTATGAGAAAATGTTCAATGTCACTGGTCATTCAAGATACGCAAATTAAAGCAACACTGAGACTTCATCTCATTCCACAAAGAATGGCTATCATCAAGAAATCAACCAATAACAAATTCTGGCAAGGTTGTGAAGAAAAAGAACCCTTTCTCCATGGTTGATGGTAGTGTAAACTGGTAGAAGCACAATGGAAATCAGTATGGAGATTTCTCAAAAAACTAAAAGTATAGGTTCCGTTTAATCCAGTTGTCCCCTGTCTAGTTATTTTCCCAAGAGTTAAAAGCATCACACCACAGTGATAAATGCATACTCATGTGTATAGCTGCACAATTTATATTAGCTAAGTCTAGGAAACAGCCCATATGCCCATTAATGGATAAAGAAAATGTGGTATTTATGTACAATTGTGGGTACTTACTATTCTCTCATAAAGAAAGATAAACTTGAGTCATTTGTAGGTAAATGGGTGTACCTCAAGACCATAATGTTAAGTGAGCTAAATCAGACACAGAAGTTTAAATATCACATTGTTTCTCTTGTGTAAGAAACTCAAAGAAACAAATCACAAAATAGAGATTGAGAAGTAGGAAGTACATGTTCAAATGGAAAGAGGAACAAGGAAGGGGGAAGTGGAAGAGAAGGAAGTGAAAAGAGATTTTAAAAAAAGGAAAATAGAAGGGAAAAATAGAAACAAAGCGTTTGTAAATGGAGAAGGGCATAAGGAATGAAGGGAGAGGAAAGAGATGGGATAAAAGTAAAAATTAAGACATGTTCTATACAGGTACAAATTCCCTATGAGAATGTGATCTTTATGTATGGCATGTAAGTACTAAAAAAATTGAAAAAATAACATAAAATACCACTCTGTGTCAGGTATTGTGCTAACATTGCAACTGGTCACTGGATACACACTTGGACAACAGAAGTGCGCCACTCTGTTGGCCTGAGCACTGGGTTCTCCCTCTACAAGTTTTTGCTCCATCTTCTGCCATCATATTCAAATGCCCTCAGAACAAAGGTGAGATGGGACAATATGAGGATAGTGTGGGAAATGAACTCACATTGTTAACTGATTGACTTATTCACCTGTTCAATATTTATTGAGCACCTTGTACGTATGAGACACCATACTGAATGGTGTCTTTCTCCTTAGAGAATTCACAGTCCATTGGTGAAGACAGACAAGTGAACCATCAGTTACAACAGTGTCAGAGATTGTTATTGCTTGCACCTAGATATTCTCCCAAAGGCTTGTGTGCTCATAGGTGGGGAGTTTCAAAGATGGCTGGATTGGGTACGTGAATGTGGATCAAGGATGTGACACTGGGATGAAGGGTGTGGATAATGGAAGCCCCATCCTGGCTATGGGTGGCACCAATCAGTAGGCCTGTAGCCTAGATGAAATAGGGACAGAAAGAAGGCAGTCTTTGCTGCTGCTGCTTTCCTGCCTTCTGCCTGCCTTGCCATGAATTGTTTTTCCTCGATGTTACCCATCTGCCATGCTGTCCTGCCTTAGAGCCAGCTGACTATGGACTGAAGTCTCTACAAACTGTAAGTTGAGATAAACTTTTCCTCCTTTAACTTGTAGGTGTTGGTTATTTTGTCTCAGCAATAGGAAAAGTAAAAGAGATGCTGACGAATGTAAAACTAATGTAGTGGAATGCATAAGGGTAATGCATAATACTATATTTTGAAAAGCCTTAAATTGTTTGGCAGAAATAATGATTATTCCTCACAGATCCTAACAACAGTGTTTGCATATGGTAAGGTCTTAGTAAGGAGTCAAAAAGGCCTGTGTATTGGTTAGGGTAGTATAGAGGACTATATATTTTTTCCATATATTTGCAAAGGGACTTATTATAGGCTTATAGGATCAGAGCCAGGAAAGTGCACAAATGCTGTCTGCACCCTCTTCAGGAAAGAGGATCTAGTAGTGTTCAGATCATGGAGCTAGAAGCCTCAGAACAAGAGGGATCAACGATGTAGCACCAGCCCAAGACTGAAGGCCTGGATGCCCTTGGAGTTGCAGGTGAGTCCCAGTTGAAATACTGAAGAGGCTGGAGTATGGTGACCACAGATGGTGGCAGTACCAAGAGAGGCACTCACTCAAGCAGAATGAAGCTTTTCAAAGGTAGGTTAACTTCCTCCTCTTTTCTTTCCATCCTGGCTATAGCCTACCAGATGGCGCCACCCACAGTCATGGCAGGTCTTCCCTCTCGCGCTACTGACCTGCATGCCCATCATTTCTGGAAACACCCCAAAGACACACCCAGAAATGTGCTTTAATAATCTGTTAAGCATCTCTTAATTCTGTCAAATTGACCATCACCTTTAATTAAAGGGCACAGCTGGGCTATTTTCTGAGCCTCAGCTTCCCCATATGAGCTGATTCTCAGCTGTCTACCTCAGGGAATTAGTGTAAGGATGAACGGTCACGAGTGATTTTTAAATCCTAAAAATATCTCTCAAAATCACAAAATCATATATTATATTTTTATAATATTTTATAAATTTTTTAAATATTTTTTATAATATTATA